GAGGACTTGCGGCAAGGAGTCTGGTGGAGCAGGCAAGGTGGTGGCTTGTGGACTGGGTGACTCCACATTTGCGTGCAGATAAACTGGGAGAAACAACTGGGGAGCAATATAGACCACAAAACCCAGGGTTCCAGTACAGGGAAATAAAGCCTCAAATCCACTGACTGAAAAAACCTGCAGGGGTTGAAGCAGCAGTGGGAGAAACTCCCAGCCTCATAGGAGAGTTCTTTGGAGAAACCCACAAGGTCCTAGAATGCATACAAACCCACCCACATGGTAATCAGCACCAGAAGGGCCCTATTTGATTGTGGGTAGCAGGGGAAATGACTGAAAACCAGCAGAGAGCCAACCAAGTGGCACTGTTCCCTTTTGGAGCCCTCCCCCACATAGAGCACCACAACACAGTGATGTGGGTTGCCCTGACCTGGTGAAGACCTAAGGCTCTGCCCCTTACTACATAACAGGCACACCAAGACAAAAAAAATGGCCCAAATGAAGGAAGAGATCAAATCCGCAGAACAAATATAACTAAGCAAAGAAGAGATAACCAACCTATCAGATGCAGGCTTCAAAACACTGGTAGTTAGGATGCTCACAGAATTGGTTGATTTTGGTCACAAATTAGAGAAAAAAATGAAGGATATGAAAAGTAAAATAAAGGAAAATGTTCATAGGGAACCAACAGTGACTGCAGGAAAACCAGGACTCAAATCAATGGTATGGAGCAAAAGGAAGAAATAAATAGTCAACCAGAACAGAGTGAAGAAACAAGAATTCAAAAAAATGAGGACAGGCTTGCTTAAGAACCTCTGGACAACTTTACACATTCCAACATCCGAATCATAAGGGTGCCAGAAGAAGAAGAGGAAGAGCAAGAAATTGAGAACTTATTTGAAAAAATAATGAAGAAAAACTTCCCTAATCTGGAAAAGGAAATAGACTTCCAGGAAGTCCAGGAAGCTCAGAGAGTCCCAAAGAAGTTGGACCCAAGGAGGAACACACCAAGGCACATCATCATTACATTAGCCAAGATTAAAGATAAGGTGAGAATCTTAAAAGCAGCAAGAAAAAAGGAGACACTTACCTACAAAGGAGTGCCCATAAGACTCTCAGCTGATTTCTCAAAAGAAACCTTGCAGGCAAGAAGGGGCTGGAAAGAAGTATTCCAAGTCATGAAAGGCAAGGACCTACATCCAAGATTACTCTATCCAGCAAAGCTTTCATTTAGAATGGAAGGGCAGATAAAGTGCTCCCCAGGTAAGGTCAAGTTAAAGGAGTTCATCATCACTCAGCCCTTACTATATGAAATGTTAAAGGGACTTATCTAAGAAAAAGATAAAAAATATGAACAGCAAAATGACAACAAACTCACAGTTATTAACAACCAAACCTAAAACAAAAGCAAAAACAAAACAAAAACAAACAACTAGAACGGGAAGAGAAGAACAGAAATGGAGATAACATGGAGGGGTATCAGTGGGTGAGTAGGAGGGGAGAGAGGGTGAAAGACACAGAGAATTTGTAGCATATATGGTAGGTAGAAAACAGACAGGGGGAGGTTAAGAAAAGTATAGGAAATGTAGAAGTCAAAGAATTTATATGTACGACCCATGGACATGAACTAAAGGGGAGAATGCGGGTGGAGTGGGTGTGCAGGATAGAGGGGAATAAAGGGGGGAAGTGGGAAAATTGTAATAGCATAATCAACAAAATATATTAAAAAAGAAAAACAATGAACTTTCAATCCCATGTACTTAGCTTAATTTTATGAAAATAAAATTTAAAATGAACATTATGTAAGGTTTTCCAATGAATATCTTAAACACTCATGCCCCTGTTTTTTTCTAACCGAAATTTATGATAAAGATTTGGAAGTATCTATTTCTCAACATTAAGCCAGCTCCAAGCATATTTACCAATAAAATAATATACCAACTCCTGAGCTTATAGAATACACAAGATCCTTCATAATCTGAACCCTATTTTCTTTCTTAAGCATCACATTCCTAAATTCTTGTTCTCTTGCTTGTATACTAAATGATGAAAACTGAAGGAAAAACCAAACAAAATAGCCCAATATTTCTTCAACTTGCCATGTCCTTTCTAATCAGTAGGTTTCTGAACACACTTGGTACCTCTATCCTGAATTCACCAACTGAACCCTCTACACACGTTTCTTTTATACTTTCTTTTCACAGAGGAAAATTTAATTTATCCTTTAAAGGCCATCTCAAATATTACAGGGCCATTAAAATTTTCCTAGAAACACTGTATCCTTTGTGTTTCTAAAAGAACTTGCCACTCTTCTAGAATCACTATTTAATAATAAAGGAATGTGTATAAAATATAGAATTTTGACAATACAGAAAAATTAGATTATCATGTTATTTTAACTCACATAATCTGAAAAAAATTTCTGATTTTCACATTTATATAAAATATAAAATAATAATATAAAAAGTATTGCGCTGGCCTGTGTGGCTCAATGGGTTGGAGCAGCATCACATAAACTGAGAGGCTGTGAGTTTGATCCCTGGTCAGGGCACATACCTAGGTTGCAGATTTGATCCCCAGTCAGGGCATGTGTGGAAGGCAACCAATCAATGTTTCTCACATGCATGTGTCTCTCCCTCTTTCCTCCTTCCTCTCTCTCTAAAAACAATGAAAAAAATGTCCTCTTATGAGGATTAAGAAAAAAAGTATTTAAAAAAACTGTCTTTAGTAAAATCATAAACATAAAGATGCACATCTATTAAAACTTCTTATTGTGTTTTATAATGAATTTTTATGTATCCACTTTTAGGCATAAGCCATGTATTGAATTGTTTTATATTCCTCTTTAAACATAGCAATTTAAATTACATAGGAAGCATTTAGAAGATGTGACATGAAACACTAACTGATCTTTAGTTTTCTTTTATGAGCTATGTAGAAGTATGATTTATATATACAATGAAATATACCAATCATAGGAGAACAAGTTAATGAATTTTGACAAATGTTTTGGATTATATAATTTCCACCCACCAAACTCATCATTTAACATTTCCACCACCTGAAAATGTTGACCTGCTGCCCTTTAGAGTCAATTGCCTCCTTCTGTTTTCAGTCTCTGGCAACCATTGGTCTGCTGTATCCATAATTTATGTTTTCTAGAATTTCATATAGATAGAAACAGTTTTTTGTGTCTAACTTCTAATAATCAGCATAATGGTTTGTGGATGGATGAGGGTCATCCATATGGTTTAGTTATCAATAGTTCATGTCTTTTAATTGCTGAACACTTCTCCTTTGTGTACATATACCATCATTTGCTTGTCCTTTCATCAGCTGATGGACATTTGGAATTGTTTTGTGCTGTTATGAATAATTTAGTTATGAACATTAGTATATAAATCTTTATGTAAACTTATGTTTTCATTTCTCTTGGATAAATATCTAGGAATAAAACTTATGGATTATATGGCAAATCTATGTTTAACTTTATTATTATTATTGTTCTTCTTCTTCTTATTATTATTTATCCTCATGCAAGAAGATTTTTTTTCACTGATTTTGGAGAGGAAGAAAGATAGGTAGGTAGACTGGGAATGTGCCCTGACTGGGAATCGAACCTGTCACCTTTTGGTATATAGGATGATGCTCCAAACAACTGACCCACACCAGCCAAGGCTCTGTTTAACTTTAAAGAAACTGTCAACTCTTCCAAAGTTGGTGTAGTAGTTTGCATTCCCAGCAGCAATGTATGATATTTCTAGGTGCTCTGCTTCCTTGTTATCACTTATTAGCACTGTCATTCTTTTTCATTGGAGCTCCTCCAGTGGGTATAAATGAAGACTTCACTATTGTTTTAATTTGCATCTCACTGATGACTGAGCATCTTTTCATGTGCTTATTGGCCACCTGTATATCTTCATTGGTGAATGTGTCTATTTGAATATTTTGCCTATTTTTAAAATCAGGCTGCCTTCTGAGCTATAAGGGTTCTTTATACATTTTTGATGAATCCTTTATCAAATATATATATATTTTTAAAAAAACTGTCTTCCCATCATCTTTAGAATGTCTTTTAAAAAACAAAGGTATTTAATTTTTTGTTTCATTTCACTAATTTTTTACTTTATGATTCATGCTCTTATGACCTATAGGAAATTGTAAAATAATTACTTCTGTCAGTTATCATAGTTCTATTATAGTATATTAAAGTGACTAACTACAAAAACCTATTAAGTCAAAATCATAGATATTGAAAAATAAGTACTAAATATTTTAAGAGCTATACTATAGAGACCAAAATACAAGTTATTTTGTATTTTGTTTCTTTTCCTAATGAAAATCATTGTGTTTATTTCTAAAAACCCGAGTTATTACATGATACATATATATATACAAGAAATATGGCAAATGTGATTTTCATGTTATTCTCATTAAAGGGAAGTGGCAGATGCTACTTTTCCTTTTTCTTTATTCTAGGATACGGAAGTGACAGTGGACGAGACATCTTAGACAATGAGGACAAGGATAATATGCTATGGACAGTAGAGCACTAAGACAAAAACAAACATACAGAAACAGGGGTTTTATACCCCATCGAGCCACTATAATTTCTTAGCACTAATTTAAGTCACTGTAATACTGGGTATTTGTTGCAGCAACCATACCCATCCATGTTTTGACTAAAAAACCAGTACCTCACTGAATGCATTTAAATGAACTACTGTATTTAAAGCCATTAGCATGGTGCAAAACAATAAACATGATAGCTATTAGATTACAGTACAAATTTAGAGATTCTCTAAGAGAAAAATTCATAAAGTAATACTTTTTAGAAGTTAAGCAATTTTTGAAATAAATAATTCAATTATTCTGTTATCTTTTGGTAGATTTTTAAGTGAAATAAATTTGAATCACACAGTAATATGCTTGAACAGCCACTTTCTTTAATATGAATTATAATATTAGTAATATAAAACAGCAAAAGTATTGATGGAAGTCCTTACCATGGAAAGGTATTCATTCGTACCCTGTTCTTATATATCAGAATTCCTCCTGACATTACTCCAATCATAATTTCATTGTTACTTTGATCCTTCAAAAAAAGAAAATGACAAATCTAAAATACTGGGCTTTAGCTGTTAAAAATATATTTTAAAATCAGGATTAGTTTATTGTTTTTTAAACAATGAGGCATTTTCAAAGGCAGCAAATAATTGCATATTTATAGACTATATGGTAATTGTTACCTGATAAAAATAAAGGACAAACTTCAAACTTAAATGCTGCATTATTAAAAGTCATTATGATCTAAGAATTTCCCGTAGTTTATAACTGGGGCTGACTCTTCGGGACAGGAAATTAGAATGATGAGTTAGTATCCATCCTTAACATTCCTAAAATTATGTTCCAATCACTATGGGCTTTCCCCATATAAAGCCCATATTTACTGTGGAAATATAATGCTGTGATTGCAAAAGGTGATAAAACATGGAGGAATTCAGAGACTGGTGAAAGGCAACCTGAAATAAAACACTGTTTCCAATATAATGAAAACTCCTATAACTCATATAATACAATAAAAACATCATGAAAGTACAAGGTGAGGAACACTTGTTGTAGAGTTTAGAAGACTCCAGAGAAGAAAATTTGAGTTACACTTTGAAGACTAAGAGTTTTCATGCTGACTTGAATAGCTAACGTGCACTATTGAGAAAAATGAGTAGAATCAAAATACTTTTCAGATGCTAATCAACCTTGAAATAGTTTTTGCTTCTTGACTTGAAACATTCTATCCTTAAACCAATATAGCAATAACGCTTTTTTTACCCCCTACTCTTCATTTGCTCACAAAGACAGAATAGATGAAAACAGAATCAAGATTCTATAATTGTCTCCCTAGGAAAAGAAAAACCTTTAAAATGTAGTTTCAATAAGTTTGAATTAAATAGGACCTTATTAAATTAACCTGTCAGGTAGGATAATACATAATAAGGCCAAACACAACAGTGTATGCTAATATTTCTGGCTGCTCATTTTGTTTAACAATAACCAGAAACACTGTACATTATTATTACAATCTTAAATGATTTTTTAAAGGTCATCAATTGGCAGATTAAGCCTAAAAGATGGCAGACTTAATATATGCTACTATTACTCTTCTGCTCCCAATCTTTTTTTTTTTGAAGATTTTATTTATTTACTTTTAGAGAGGGAAGGGAGGAGGGGAGAGAGAGAGAGAGAAACATCAGTGTGCGGTTGCTGGGGGTCATGGCCTGCAACCCAGGCATGTACCCTGACTGGGAATCAAACCTGCGACACTTTGGTTCGCAGCCTGCACTCAATCCCCTGAGCTACGCCAGCCAGGGCCCTGCTCCCAATCTTAAAACATCAGAGTACATGAAACAGAAGAATCTGTAACAGCTGAAGGTATATAATCAAGGCACCAGACATTTTAAGGAATTTGTAAAGATACAAAGAGGATAAAATCAGTTCTATGGAGAGAAAAAAATTACAGAAAACCATAGCTCAAACTACATATATGAAAAAGTTCTACATGGAGCTGGAAAGAGCAGAAAAGTTAATGGACAAAAGTTCAGAGACAAGTAAGAAAAAAAATAAAGGGATACCTCAAATTACTGTCAGGGTCATCAGAAAGGGAGCACTTAAGGTGATTAACTTTTACCAACCCTACAATCCGGCCCCATGTAGACTGAGCTATAAGACATGGAAGTGTATGCAGCCTGTCTAAAGCAGCAAGTTGGATATTCTTGTTATTTAGGGACAGGGATTAAGAGTAATCCCCAAAAAGGATGGAGAACCCCAAACTGAAATGTGATTATAGTCACATTCTATCTGGTAATATAGTCGTTTCTTCCTCCACTGTCATCTGAGGCAGGCTATAGTGAAGGCAAACATCATCCACAGCCAAGTGTAGTAGGGATCACAAACATAAAAGTAGTATACAACCAAGAATCACCAAGGACCTCAGCAGAACTGAGACAGGGTATGGAGCAAAATGGCTGTAACCAATTAAGGGCTACTGGCACTAGCAAGTGAAGTAAGATCAACACTCGACAAATTCATGGCTTAGAACCTGCAGAAGACCAGGTCCATCCATCATGGTTACTGTTTTCAATTTGTGGTAATCACTAGCCTCATTATACAATACATTAGCATTCTAAACAACCTATCTGGTTGCACCATGATCAGAAAGGGAAAGCCCATATAAAGACCCAAGGTGGCTAATGAGGTTCTTCTGAGAAGTCCCCACCTCTTTCCAGGAAAAATCTTGAATATTCCTCCTCCTTACATGCCCTACCACTTGATTAAATGAGCCTCAGTAAAAGAAGTAAATCCCACCAAGGAGGAGGGCTGCTCTGCATGTGAAGTAGCCTGCCCCTTACTCACTTACATTTTAAACTCAATGCTGGCTTGTCTTTGAATTCTTTCCTGCACAATGCCAAGAACCCACAGTGGGTCATGGACCTTCAGGCTCCTGGACTCCCAGAATGTCTGCATCAGAACCAATACCACTGAAGATATACAAAAAACTCAACAAATACACAAATCAATCAAGCTGCTACTACACTGGGAGAAAAGCATGATTAAAAAACATAATCAGGGGTTGCTAGGAGGCTCTAGTTCTTAAATTTTAGCTATCTAGACTGAAATGGCAGTTCTCAAGGTACTGGCAGAGATAGTCAAGATAAAACATGCTAAAAGAAGAAGACAACTACTTGTGCTTCATGGACACAAATGCTATTAATTCGATGTACACAAAATGTATGGTGATGACTTTATTTTAAATACCTTACTCTGCTTTTCCTCTTATCACTTACTATTTAATACTGTGCCATAAATTGACTTGTTTAATCTGTTTCTTTTTTCTTTTCTTCACTAGACTCTAAGTAGCAAAGCATCGGACCTTTGTTTTGCCCTTCATAATCGCAGAAAAGTGCCTTATACTCATTTTGTGGAATGAATGAATCTCTATCACCTACAGGAAAATATTATGATTATTCAGTTAGGCATTGACGACCTTTAAACAACTATCCTACCCCATTATTTCCCCTACTCTAACTAGTAAAACTCTTCTGTTTCTTGTCAAGCCAGTTACACAATGTGTTTTGTCTACCCATTAATTGCATGTTTTGTTAATGGTGTTTTCATTCCTTTTTCATGTCTGACAAAAGAAACTAAAGTCTAGATCAAGTCCATCTTCTTTGAAAATTTCATTAGTCTACATCTACGAGTTTTTCTCACAGAAATTTATCTACCTCTTAAACCATGTATCTGAAATACCTAATTACTGTCAGCTACATGATAATGGCTGGATTGTGTATAACAATGGCAATCTACAATAAACTATCTGTAGTACCGGAGCAGTTATATTTGTTTACTTTGTTTAAATTTCCAATCAGTCAGGTATTAATACTTTTACAAAATATACCAATCACATGCTTGATGTCAGATTGCTATAAAAGTTTCTAATTGTTAACTCTGAAGTTCTGTATATATCTCATTCATGGATCAGCACCACTCTATGGTCATACTTTGAGAATCAATGAACCATTATATTTTACATTCTTCCAAAGAGAATAGTTCTCAAATAAATATTTTTTAATTGATTGCTCATGGAAATATGCTTACACTTAGCCATCACACTAACAGAGAAGATGTTTCATATAATCTAGCTACAAAGATTTGTGATATGCTTTAAATATACAGTTACCTATGAAGTTAACATTAAATGAGGACTAAAAGGGAGAGATCATTAAATGAGGACCAAAAGGCAGTAGCCATATGATTTGACAATGTGTATTTAGAGCAACCATAAAACCAGGGAAAATAAGATAATATTTCCAATTTTTAACTGTCTAGTAATAACTGATATGGTAATTGTACAATTATTGTTTTAATTGTGATGTGAGATAAAAATAAAATTATGAGATACTGTAATTCTTAAATCCCTCGAGTCCTATAAAAATCAAAATATCCTGTATCTCAGTATAGCTATGTAGAAACAATATAGATTCCAACTCTACACACTTAAAAGACCTAGAAACAACCAAACCAGTAGGAATGAGCATTCCTAACACCAAGATTGAGATTTTAAACATCATTTTCCATTAAAAGAAATCAGGGCTTGAAGAAATAGTTGATTACAGGTCTGTGCAGAAAACAAGCAAGATAAACCTGAAACATCTTGGAACAGCATGGAACCTATTAAGACTACAAAGGTATCTTAAAAGGACTTAAGGGACAAGATAAGAGACTTCCCATGGCCAAAAATGAGACAGTTTGAGCTTCAATAAGGAAAAGAACTGTAATATTTTGAAACCTATCACACAAAATGTTTAATCCATGAATTCACAATGATATTATTTAAAAATATATTGGTGTATTTCCTCAGGATAGTGGTGAACCAACTCATTACCTTAAAAACTAGGTAAATTAAAGGAAAGAACAAAACACTTTCCCTGCCTTTCCTATATGAACTGTTCTACTGGGCAGTCAAATAGTAAAAGAAGGAAGTGACTCTCTATAAAATTATCCCAGCAAATAAGTAAAAACAAAAATAACTAGGGTATTTCTATTTTGCAGCCTCTAATGAATCAATGGATCTAGGCACTGAACATCAATGGCTACTAACATTAAAAATAGTGAAAAACGGATAGTGTGTGCCTCCTGATAAAATACAACAAAGGGATCAATACCAAATCTGATCATGATTCCAGATCAAGCTTGCTGTGATCTTGAAGGAAACATATAGAACTGCAGAACACATTGAACTGCACCATAAATATGTGAACAGGAAAAATCCAGACTGAGAATCTACAGGTGAAATGGTCCAGTTCTTTAACAAGAAAATTCTAAGGAAAAGTAAGGAAAAGAGGAAAGGAGGGATTAAAAGACATAGAAAGGTATCTAGTTAAACAAAAAGCAAGACCAAGCTATAGTATCTAAGAAGGCACACGTAAGTGATAAACCATAAAAGAATACAATGTAGGGATGGGCTATATTAGGGCAGGGTACAAAGAAGGTTCCAGGAATGGTTGGTTAAATGCTACTGGTTGACCTGGGGGGTCAAGT